GGGAATGGGCTTAGCTGTCATAATTAGGGAAGTTAGTAGGGACCTATGGCATGTTGGCAGAGCTACAGTGGCTCATGGTCTGTTTTCACACTCTGGCCTGGTAGTCATGTTGGCAAAACTGTAGTCTTGTTTTGTCCTGAGTGGGATGAAGAAATATTTCTATAGATCTTTTTCTCTCGGAAAATTCTTCATAATGGGCTAGATGATGTGATGGTTCTGTGGAAAGGGTGCACATGTATTGTTTTTCTTGCTGTGTTATGGGTATAATACATAATTTAATTATTATATATGAATTTTCATTTATTTCATTATGGTTAGCTTATTTCCTCATATATCAAGGAAATACATAGAGCAGAACTAACATTTTTTGGGATGTTACAAATACTAACTGTATGTTAATTTTCAGTTTAGAATTCATTCATATCTGAAGTTACTGTATTTCTGGGTTTGAATATAAAACATATGTACTGAAACATATGTACTAGCTGAAAACCAGAAAATTTGCTTTACTTGAAGTGATGTGTTAGAAATTATAAAAGTTTACCTCTTCTACCTGACAAAGCAATCCATCTAGAGGTGAATGCAATTTTCAGTGCATGTGTTTTTCATAATGCACTGCCTTTTGACAATGCAGATTTTTCCTACAAATACTTTTTGTTGATGTATTTGAGCTTCTTTGTATTTGTGTCCATCTTGGGGAATTATATATGAAACATAACCCTGAGCTGGAAAAACAGAATAGTTTCATTAAGGTGAGCTTAGCAACCAATGGAGAAATATGTGCAGTGTTTCACTGTGTATGCATCACTGTTTTTTAATGCCATGATTATCCATGGGATGACATAGGTCCCTAAGAATGGTATTAGGACTGTTTTTTGAGTGATTATGTGAGTATTGTGTTCAGCAGTAAGACACAGCAAAATATGGCAGGGCATTTGAGTATGATAAAGTCACCACGCACTGTTGTACCATCAACAGTGTGGAATGAGCTGAAGAGGTAGAAAAATAAAATACTGCTGAGTATTGCAGCCACCAGAAGTGGTATGGTTCAGAATAATTAATGTCTGTGGTGCCAATCAAGCCTTAGACAAAAGAACTGAGGACCACAGGCTTTTTCCCTGAGATATACAAAATGAATAAGGAAGGTGTACTGTTGCATGAGCAACCTGTCATTGTAAGATGATGATTAATTTATTTGTTTTCCAAGAAATATAGACTAAATGGAAAAGTGGGGGAACCAGTCTCGTAGTTTGTTATAACTGATAGGATTTATCTCAGGCAATTAGTCCCACTTCTCATTAACCTCATCTTAATCTGGACATGTCAGATGATTAATCACTTTGTAAATGTTCTGGTTTCTCTCCAAGTGACTGTAAGTGGATTCCAGATTACTTCTGCAAATGTGGATATCTACATCAGAGGCATCTGATTTAGTTTTAGATGTTTCAGGTCATTGGAATTCTCATGTGGCAAACCCCAATGTTCATGTCATGAAACTCAGTGGGCTGTAGTAATGTCAGAGACCATATTTCAAGAACAGAAGTAACATTTATGAAGTTGTTCCTTGAGACATCTAGTGGCATGCACTTAGAAATTAATATATTATTGAGGTCTGTAAGACAGGCCACTAAAATAAGCAATGAAGGAAAGGAGGCTCCATATTTGAAACTGCAGAGCCATAGTATTAGTATATTCTTTAAGCTGAAACCCAAATGAAAGATGCATCCTTGATTATACAAAAAAAATAATCCAAGGCAAAATAAGTACAGAATTGTAACCAAGAGGCTAATTTTCTCATCATAGATGATGAGAATAAATAATTTTAAAATTTGGGCAGATGGGCACGAGTCAGGAGAAGATGCAGATTTAAGTATATTGTCCATAATGGGTGATAGGTGACCCTGCCTGGCAGGGGAGTTGGACTAGATGATCTTTCAAGGTCCCTTCGAACCCTAAGATTTTGTGATTCTGTGATAAGGAAGAAATATTTAATGGAGGCACCTGCTGTTAATAGTTAATGAGACTAGCTGAAATGAGCTTCTAGCAGAGAAGAGTGAAGTTAGGGCAGAGACACTAGATGACACAGAAGACCTCAGGAGCATATTCTCTTTCTTGGACTGATCCAGCTTCAGGCTACATGAAAGGGCCTGATACGATGATTCAGGATGAGCATGAATGAGGCTAAATGCAGTCTCTGTTGTGTTGGTCTGGAAGTCTGTTACATGTTCATCCAGGCCCTCCGAAACCTGTCAAATTCTGGGCTAACAATGTCAGAACTATTAAATTAAATCCCTATTTTGTATATTTTTTTTTCAGGTAGGGGTTTTATCGGAGGTAAGGACAGGATGTACCTGTACCTCAGGTTGAGACAGATGGCTTGTACACCCAGCAGCATGCTGGACTGTAGCACAGATTTGTTGACTTCTTGTGCACATACATGCACAGAGGCTGATACCAGTTCAAACAAAGTAGTCATTTACATCATGATGGGTTATAGTGCTTACTTGGCATGTTACTATTGTTGCTATTTAAGTAAAATCCCCTAGTTTATTTCAGACAAGACTGAAGTAACAATAATTCCATAAAACAGTGGGTAGGAACATTTTGTTTATGTAGAGGTAAAATATTGTAGTTTTTCAACAGATTGCAGACTTCCTTTTGTGGGCATTTGTAACTATTTGGGACCAAATCCAGTTCCTAGTAAACTTGGTAGGAATCTTTCAGTCAAATTTCTTTAACTTTTCGAAGAGGCCAGGTTTTACAAAGTTTACTTTTTAGTTGTTGCCAGCTACCTGTGACAACCAAGACTTCCTTTGGGACCCTGTGTAATATCTGCAGTGGTACCCTTTGCACTGAAATTATCTTAATTAGATGCGGTAATGAGGAGGTTAATGGGTCTACCTGGTCACTACTATAGAAGCTGTTCATAAAACAATATGGGAAATATGGGGAATAAACAAGAGGACCTGAAATCTTAATCCTTGAGCGACACTGGGATGCAACTAGCATAGCAAAGAGACAGTGGGAGGACAGGGAGAAAGAAAAGGCTGTTGCTGTTGTATAGTGGCTTCAGACACTTGTGCTGTGACCCAGCTGTAGAGGGAGTTGGACAAACTGATGGTCCCTGAGTCATACTAAAGGGGGAAAAGCTCATGGGCTGCATCACTATTCAGGCGTTGCACAGACCACCAAACAGATCAAGTAGGTGGGGTTTTCTATTAGCAGAGTAGAGAGGATGGTGATGATGGAAAATTTTAACAAATCAATCGTCTGTTGAAAACCAATAAAGGAAAATACCAACTGCCCAGCATGTTTTGTGTGCACTTTTGACCAAATTTTGAGGCAGAGAGAAAAGCAATCAAAGGGGAAGCTGTTCAATTTCTCTGGAGGAGAAACTGGTCAAGAATAGAGAGAGGAAATGCAGCTTTAATGAGAATTAATCTGGAACGACAGAGCTTACAGATTTCAGGGGGGGAATGGGAATCTTATTGGAAGGAAGTGTGGAGAAAAGAAGTTAAAGGGCTTGGTTGTTCCTCAAAGAAAAAATATAAAGATGAAAGAGTGCAAATTACAACAGCACAGGAGAAGAACAAAAAAGCATAGTAAAACAAACCTGTCCAAAATACAAACACCTTATTTACCTGAAGCACAAGAAAGAACTATGTAGAAAATTGAAACTGGTTTGGATTATTCAGAACAAAAGCAAAAGAATAGCAAAAGACATAGAGGGGGAAAAGCCAATGCCAAAAAAATATGAACAAGAAAAAACTGTGTACAAGAAAGAACACGAAGAGTAACAGAAAGTGTTTTGGAAGTTTATTTCTGCTAAGAGCATGTTCCAGGAAAGTGTTGTTCTACTGCTTAACAGAACCATGTCAGTCTTCACTAGTAGTATTAAGAGCATATGAAAAACTCAGCCTAGAATAGAGGAAGGACAAATCAGAGAGTACTTAATGCATTAGGTGTTCTCAGGTTAGCTGTGCCCAAGACACGCTATACTTGAAAACTGGAAGAATTGGCTAAATTAGTCCAGGTCTGTTAGCAATTACCATTCAGAGTCTGAAGAAGAGAAATTAGAGTGTAAAAAAACAATAAAATAGAAAATCTGATCCTTGAAACGGTGGGGGAGCTACAGAGGGAAGAGGCCTGTTGCAGACTGACAGATAATTTTTGTTCCTAGAGAAGTTACAGACAAATAATCAAACAATTTGTATGTACCTGGAGGAAAGCAACAAACAGGAGTTAGCATGGGTTTATTGAAACTATCTAATACCCTGCAGCAAGATAATAAAACTTGTAGATAAAAGGAGCAGGTGTCCTACGTTTTCACTTTTTAAGAAACTTCTGAACATTGTCTCACAAGACTTTCCTATGAACAAGTTAGGGAACATCAAGTAGTGTCTTAATGTAAGTTGCATGGGATATAACTGCAAAACTGGTTGGATAAGGTAGCCTCCAAGCAGCTACTGCTGTTTTGCTGCCATGTGTGCATCCCACAAGTTTATTTTAGACACTATTCTGTTTTTTCAGTAATAATCTGGGTTATATATTAAAGAATATGCTGATTACATTTCAAGTTGTCATAAAATTGAGAATGGATTGGAAGAATGCTGGAGAACAGGATTAGAATTGATAGTGATCTTGACTCGTTGGAGAAACAGTTTGGGGAATAAGGTAATATTAATTAGGTGTAAGTGCATGGTACTACACTGGGGCAGAATAGACATGTGCAGGACACAGGACAGCTGGTTAAGCAGTGGGTTTTGAAAACGACACATAAGCTGTGAATGAGTGAACATGATCAAGCTGTTCTCAAAAAGATGATGGATGGATGGATGAAAAAGACATATAGTCTGCAAAATGTATGGAATAACCAATCTTTTGTACTCAGTACCCTGCTCAGTTCAAATACTAGGTCCAGTTTTGAGCTTTAATAAAGAAAGAGCTACTTGGAGGGTGTTAAAAGAGTAACAATCAGGGTAGTTAGAGAGCTGAAAAATATGGCTTGTAAGGAAAAAATTGAAGAACCAAAATTATTTACCCTAAAATGTAAAAGATAGGTAGGAGAGAAAAGTTTTCAAATGAGTAAAAAAACCAAACCAAACAACAAAACATCCCCCTCAAAAAAACCCAAACCACCTTGAACTTGCATAGATGAAAGGAATGATCTTATCTCTGCATCCAGTATAGACAGCTTAAATCCTAAGAAGAATTATTTTAGAAATCAGAAGAAAAATTCTGATAGTAAGCTAAGATCTCTTAGAAAAGGTTAGGTGATAAATTTATAGTAGAGGTCTTTTAGAACACAGAAACCTTGCCTGGAAATAGTAAAAATGCAGCTTTTTTTCACGAGCAGTTTGGAGATGACTGGCTCTGAACCCTGTCAGCAGTATCTTCTGCAACTGTTACTGCTTATTGTTGCTTATCTCTTCTCTAAATCTTGTGAAACTTTACTGTATTTTAAATTATAATGATACCTTTCTTCTTTATTGCAGTGTGTGCAGAAACTTACAATCCTGATGAGGAAGAGGATGATGCCGAATCTCGGGTATTTAATGCTTTGAATCAAGCACTTACGTTTTTCAGTTCTCAGGCATTAAATTTAAGAAGGAAATAGGACTTATTATGTAAGTTATGTAGCCAGCATTAACATTGCTTTCCAAAAGCATTCTTATTGTAAGATAATTTAATAATTTGTGGAGTTTTAATGTTAAAGAAACATTTTAAAATTCTCTGTAATAATCACCCATGTAGGACCTAATGTGAGTATTATTCTAATTACCACACCTTTGATACATGTTCTGTTACAGAGACATTTTTGTGCAATATTTGCCCAGAGAGCACCTACTCATAGAAGTACTAGTTTGGTATCCTGATAATCTTACAATAGTTTCTTCAGTATTCTAGTATTTTTCATAAGGCAGAAAGAAAGGCAAATTGTAAAATCACTGAGATTTTCAGATATACAGTGCAATAGCTAATGAATTGTATTTATGTATTTTACTTACATCACTGTTCTGGTATGAAATAGCATAAGCCTGACTTCTAAGACAGGCTTAAGTGTTTGTATTCTACCTATTTTCTGGACTGTGAAACTGTCAAAAAGATTATCCTAAAGCATCACAGCTTTGAAACCAGCTTACTTTTTAAAACGTATGACTTGTATGAACAACTTGATTGATGCTCACATTAACCAACTATCAGTTAACTTGGTAAATCTCTGGCTCACTCGGATAATGTCAAGGCAAGTCTGTTGTTTACTCTGTGAAAGTTTTGATATAAATTTAACACTGCTACTGTTTCACAAAATACTCTTTGTGAAGTAGTAATATCAAGTGGCTAAATGTAACGGTGGTGCTCCTCATAAAACATGCATGCTCCAAATATGATTAAAGAGTAGTAGAGTAATGTGTACACAGGAACAGTTGAGATAAAGATAGCCAGAATGGCTTGCAGAAATTGAACTGCATTCTACAAATGTAAAGATCTCATTAGCTGAAATACAGGAATCCTTTATTTGCTACTGCTGTGGTGATATAATGTTATCATTGAGTGTTTATTCAAATTCTGAAGCTTTAGAAATTAAAGTGTCACAAAGTGTGGCCAAAACATTGTGTAAAATGCTTAGCTGAGTTAGTTCAGTCCTTCGGTTAGTGCTGCTATATGATAACCACTTCAAAGCTTTTTTCTGTTACATCACTCAGATTATTCACCCTAAAACAGATGATCAAAGAAACAGGCTGCAGGAGGCTTGCAAGGACATTCTGCTTTTTAAGAACCTGGATCCGGTAAGAGATTCTTTATAAGGAACAAAATTTAGCAGTGATGCTAAGAATTAATTCTCTTGAATTTTGACCAGAAGTTTACAGATTTTACTTCTATAAGCTCTTATGTATGCTTTCTTGACCATTTTATAAACTCCAGAAATGCCATTTTTAAGACTGATATGTCATATATATATATATGTCTTTTGTTCACCACCATGAATGATAGTCTTGAAGTACATTAGGATGAATTTATACATTAATATGACACTGAAGTATTGTATTTTCTTATTTTTTAAATCTTCTTGCTGTACATTGATATGTATAAACTCATCAGTTAACTGGAAGGTTTAAGTTGTTTTACTACTTACTTTTTATCATCCAAAAGTGTGCTGAGTGCTCCATCAAAATGTAAAATTACCTCTAAAGCCTATTGTTTAGCTATAGACATAATGGAACAAGCAAGCTATGAAATAGAGGGAAAGATAAATGCAATAGTGATGTTACATTACTATTTTGCTTAATGCAGATACTGTAAAAACACTACGGATAATTTTCTTCTGTGCAAATAATTTCTTTCTATTGCCTACAAAAACAATTATGGGCTTTTTAGAAGGCTTAAATGGAGTGAATGAGTGATCTGCATCAGACAAAGGTGATAATGTTACAGAAAAGCACAGGATTGTTTAAGGGAACACAGATACTGAAGCTGGGATGACTCACAGCACCCCAAATGCTTTCTCAAGAGAACTGATTCAGTGCTGTCAGGGGAGGGAGCATGGGGAAAAAGGAAATAATTAGGTAGAATTTTAAGCATGAGGATGAAAACTTTTATATTTAATTGAAGAGGGAACTAATGAAAAAACAGCCTGCAGCTCTGTTTGGAAGCCGGGTGCTATATTGTAATGTTGTGTAGCTATAGAACATTAAACTCTTCCCCTGTGGGCACTTCATAGAATCACAAAATGGTTTGAGTTAGAAGGGACTTTAAACATCATCTCTTTCCAACCCCCCTGCCATGGGCAGGGACACCTTCCACTAGACCAGGTTGCTCAAAGCCCCAACCAAACTGGCCTTGAAAACTTCCAGGGATGAGGCATCCACAGCTTCCTGGGCAACCTGTTCCAGTGTCTCACCACCCTTACACTAAAGAATTTCTTCCTAATATCTAATCAAAATCTACCGTCTTTCAGCTTGAAACCATTAACCCTCATCCTATCACCAAATGCCCTTGTAGAAAGCCCCTTCTCAGCTTTCCTCTAGCCCTTTCAGGTACTGGAAAGCTGTCCTAAGCTCTCCCCAGATCCTGCCCTTCTCCAGACTAAACAACCCCAACTCTCTCAGCCTGTCTTCACAGGAGAGGTGCTCCAGCCCTCTGATTATCTTCATGGCCCTCCTCTGGACTTGCTCCAACAGCTCCATGTCCTTCCTGTGTTGGGGACCCCAGAACTGGACACAGTACTCTTCCAAGGAATACTGAGGAATTACTTCCCCTGTTTCTGGAGATCTTCTCAGGACTGCGCTGCTCTCTCAATAAAATATTCCCTTAATATTTTGAACTCCCTGTTTTCTTTTTGCTTCTGAATCAGTTCCTTGTAATTGCTAATTGTTCCCACCATCTCAGCAGAAGACCTTTTAGCTGTGTCTTCCCCTTGCAGAGCTCTGCAATCCAAAGCCTTGAAATCTGCTCCTTGGGTCTCTTAAGTCTTGTTTACCCACCTTTGCTCAGATTGTCCAGTGGATTAAGAACACTTCCTTCTGCTTTAAACTCTTCACAGGCAGCATTCTGGAAAGTTGAGTAAGAGGAATTTTTCATTATAATAACTTCACTCATAAAAGGCATTGAAAAGCTGCTGAGCTCTGAAGATAGCAAGGATTTTAAAATGTAGCCTTCTTCAGACTGGCTTGGTCCTTCTTTGGAGCTAAGATCTGTAGCTCCCAGGGGACTTCTCCCACTCCTCCTTCTTGTTCTGCTGCTAGGCAGTGATTCAAGAGCTCCGCCACTGTAGATGCAGTAATTTAAATGTTCCTATCCCAGCTTTCTTCCTCACCTCTGCCTTTCCACCCTGCAGCACAAGTGAATGTGGTGCCAGCTGCTGCATTTTGCTCTCTGGTGTGTTAGCAAAACCACTTCTTCATTTTGGAGAGAGATAATACGTTCAGCTTCTAAAGCTGAAGTCTGGAACAAAAGTCAAGCTGTGTATCAATATTGTCTCAACTCCCACTGTCTTTTTCTTGCATTGAACTTCAGCCTCTTTGTGCAATAGCTCAGTGTATGAAAAACATTGTTTTAGAGGTCAGTGAGCTAGAGGGGAAGAGACAATGCAAAGCGCTTAATGGCTTTTCCCTGATGGCCTTTTAGCAAGGTGTCACACCCCGTTCTTAGAAGTGCCACCTCTCTGAAATACAGTATAACTACCTGTCCTAAGGCATGATCACAGTTGCCTTCCACTTTTTCTTAGAACTTTATCCTGTTTCAACACACTGTGGTTTAATTGGAGTGGAACGAAAAGATAAGGGTATCATTAAAGCAGAAGAAGTTGCAGTAGTTAGGAGATGCCTTGCAGTACTGCTCAGCATTTTAATGAAAGAGTCCATCTGAACACACAAAAGCCTTCACATAAAGGTAAAAAACAGCAGAACCTTTTGAATGTAAGACTAAATGAGAGAGAGGAGAAAAAGATAACTTTTAGACTTAGAGATAACTTAGGATTTTCTAAACAAACACAACATTCTTGAGTCTGTACTTACCTGATAGCAGTGTTTCAATATCAGATAGGTAAACCTACAGAGAAGTCTTTATAAATACCAATATTTCACATATTGGCTCTGGTTGAAAATATAATCTTGTATAAAGGAACACCAGCTCTGGTCCAGTTCCCTGAGCAGCACTCTGTGTTTTCAAAGCCAATTCTTATAAATGCCTTAAAGTCTGTGAAGTTACTTGAATTTTCTTGAAATTTTCTTTAACTTTGTGGATTGATGAGAATGTGACTGGTCAACTAATGTCAGTTCAGCAAGACACTTCTGAGTTAACTTCCTTAAATAAAAAGTACTTTAAAAATATTTATATGTTAGCATTTTTTCACCCTTCTGGGGACTTAATCACTTCCCATCTGGTTGCTGTCTCTCAATACCAGTTTTAGTTAGTGGATAACGGTTTTGAAAAAACAACTTAAGAATATGGATTGAAACATGCATGTACAACAAGATAAGGGAAGGAGGTTTTTGCAGGGCTTTTTGGATGCTTTTTAGAGGAGCAGATCAAGAAAGAATCAAGAGAAATTCTAGGAGCAGAACTGTGTGGATGGATGAGTTACAAGAGAGAAAGATGCATTGAGATGTTTTTCTTCTCCCCACACTGTTATTCTACACTATGTGATTAATTCAGTCCTCTACTAAAGCACCTCTTTCTGTTCTTCTTCACAGAAAACCTCTTCCTATTAGACCACAGTATTATTTGTTGTTCTCAACTGCCTACCACACCATTGCCAGAAATCCTAGTATTGCTTTTGTTTTCCTAGGATTGATGTGCAAGGCTGCTTGCTCTATGTGCATGCACAAAACGTTACCACACCTTCTCCTTCAGGCTCCAGATGCTGGAAGTTACTGGCAGTGGAATCAGAAGCTGCATGCCCTCTTTCCCCTCTACTTTCACTTTGTATAAGCCAACAAGGAGAAAACAGGATGATGACCACATGAGCTGGTCCATTACTGAATCTAAGCCCCAATTCACTATTATTGGAATCTCTTCAGCCCAAAAACTGTTTTATCACTGGGAGAGATAGCAGCAGCAGCTCATCCAGTGGCCAGTGCAGCCTTCTGCACTTCCTTTTTATAGTGCAGTCCAGGGAAGCTATTATTTTGGTTTTGTCTTTTAAGAGGAAATTTTGCTGGGGCTGATTAACAACAGATTATTTGGTTTGGCTGTTATGGCCCACAGGCCAGCAGTTAAAAAATGTAAGGAACCTGGTATTAGAGTTACAGGATAGCTCCAGGGACTGGTACCATCAAAACTGTGCCACACCCTTGCACTTAAATTTGAATCCTTTCTTTTGCAAAAATTCACATGTAGTGCTAGATCATCTGTTCTCTTTCAGGGAAATTTTGTTTTTGAGAGATTTGCTCTGCTAATGCTTGCAGAGAGTATTTCAAATAGGTTCTGACCCTTTTCTAAAAGGTAATAAATTATACATATTCTTTACAAATATGCAAGAGCAATTTCTGGGCATATTGCCACTCATGCACCAGGGAAATTATTATAAGAGAGCACAAATATTGATTGATCATTTAGAATTTATTATCTTGCAGGAAGACAAAAGAAAGTGCAATGCAACTGTGTTTTATGAGTAGTGGACTCATACTTAAGACCAAAGCATTCCCTGAGAAGTGCTACCAACAGAAGGGTCTCATAATGCTTTTATGTTCTTAAACCTTTTGGTGAATTAATGAGAATACATACATGTAAGAGAAAGCCCAGAATGCCTGAACATGTTCATACTCTGCCCTCCTTGATGGCACAAAACTCTTTGCAAACTAATGGGTTCCCAAACAAACAGTAATGCTGTTAATCCTCTCTTTTTTTTTTTTTTCCAAAGACAAAATTAATGCTTCTGTCAGATCTAGCAAACAGAGATTCTCTCTGCCTTGCCTATAATCAGTTATTGAAGGTGTTCTGCAAAAGAACTGCCCAGTGTGTGGTGTCTCCAGCTTAAGAATTTTGGAAATAATTTGCAACTCTGAATTACTTCTGCTGGTTTTAGCAAACTGATAAAAAGTCAGCCACCTTGCTCAGGGGGGCTAGTTGCAAAGTATAAAATGTGTTACTGAGCCTGATTGATGGGCATGTGCATGATAGATGAGAAGCAGCATATTAGGTGGGGGAAGGTTAAGGTAAGCTCTCAAGGAGAATATTAGTACTCAGAAAGATTGATTATACATCGAAATATGAGTTAGATTCTTTAATAGTAAAAGAATAAATGTCTTTTGATTACTTTACAAGTGGATATTACACAAGGGAGCTAAACATTTTGAACTGAATCAGTAGTGCTGGTAACATTTATATCAGAGTTCCAGGGAAGTATATGTACATGGTCTTGTTCTGAAAAACAAATGCGGAGAGCTCAAAACTTGAATTCTGTAATTTCCTCTTTCTCTCTAAGGCCCTAACTTGTTGATTGAGAACTTCTTTTCTTCCCATGGTTGACCTGCCTATATTTTCCTGGCTTTTTCTATCTGTTTTTTATTGTTGTTGTGAGTTTGTTAGGGTTTTTTCCTTCCAATTCTGGTATTCTGTCTGCTTCATTACCCTCTTAATATAATGTTGAGCATTAATTTGTTGATATTTCATATTGATCAAATAGGGGATAAATTGGCCAACAGGATGCTGTTTTAACCTGGGCTCATTTTAGTGAAATGGTTTTAGGACTAAAGAGGTTAGTGAACTTGGTTTGGGGCAATGGAAGAACAGTGGATTCACGTTGTTCATTTGATAGTCTTATGGTTGTGTCTCAGCACGTTATCATTTTTACAAGTCATATGAGATAGGTAAGTCTTGTACTACTGTTGCACTGAAGTGCAAGACAATCTGATGCCTGCTTATGTTGTGCAGGATGTCTTGAATCTAAAAAGGAAAATAACTCAGATTTCTGATCTGCCAGGGAGCACTCCAGCAGCACACTCCTGCTTCTTTGGGGAACTTGCAAAGCATATGTAATCCTCATATATCAGTCAGTACTTTTGAGACTTGCTGCATCTGTCTTAATAGTTGTTGGAGCTTACCAGCTCCTGTCAAATGCCAGATTAAGATTGTCTTTGTTTACTGTCAGAAGCCACATATTTTTAGTTGTACAAACGTAATTGTGCCTTCTGGATCCAGAATACCTTTTTGGAAATAGTGGGAAAGGGTATTTTTCAGAAGTTACTTTATACATTTGTCATTGTCATGGCTTTCAGTGAAGATTGTGTCCTGGTTTCTGTTTTACCTGTAGTGCCTTCATTAGTGCAGAATGGATAGCACTTTGTCAGACAACAAATGTTTGTATCAGCAGTTCAAACACTGATGTTTCTTAGAAGCCCAGTATTTAAGAATGGTTGAGTTTAGTATGGAGAACTTTGTTCTTTTTCCTTTATAAAATGGCTCACAGTAAATCTCTAAACTGATATTAAGAAGACATGTACCTGGCACAGTGGTAGCAAATCTCTTGGTAGTCTGGAAGTTGAAAGAGCCATTAGCATCTGGGAAGGACATGTCATGGTCTGCCAGCTGTCTGGAATGAATCAAAAGCTGTCTTGCAAGGACATGTAAGTGACTGTATTTTCAATCTGTGTGAAAGGTATACTAAATAAAATGCCATTTTAGACATACTCAATGTCCATTATCTAACTGACTTTTTTTTTGTCTTGAGATGTAATTCCCGTGTTTGTTTTACTGACTTGACAGAAATTGAGGCTAACACGCTATTTTAAAATAATACAAGATGTGTCTGGAGAGCAGTACTTTCTGTGATACAAAATATACATTAAGAGAGCTGTGGGTCATTATTTGCAGTTTTTCACTTGACCTGGCAAGAAGGATGGAATCAGACACTGTTCCATGGGGATGTCCTTGGCAAGCCAGTTATCTTTACTGTCTGGGGCTTTCTTCTTCTGGTCTCATTTGGTGTCTTTCATTTGTAACTGATTGTAAACATGCACACAATGCTGTACACTTCAGATATGAAATGGCAGGCTTGCACACACCTTGCATGGGTATGACCACAGGCCTAGATTCATAAAAGCGCCTAATAGGAGTTTCACTTTAGGCACAGTAAAATATTTCTTAACTGTAACAGAATCATTCATAAAACCTGCTTAGTTGCTATACTGTTCATAGGCTCAATAGTAACCACCAGAGGTATTTTTTTCACACTGGATTTCTGCTTCTGTGCTAGAGGTTCATGTGGCTACCATGTGATAAAGGGCAAGAAAGGGCAGCTACTTTTTGCCATAATTGTGTACTGTTTAGAAATACTAGCACATGAAGGCTCAGAGAGCATCAGGCTCCTAGTGAAGAATTGATGAAGAGCATCTGTATAACTGACATTGAGTAGAGAGACCTCACAAAGCACAGCAGAGGGGACACACTAACAGAGACTTTGCAGTTAAGGCAGTTTGTGCAGATGGGAATTTGAAGTGGAACTGAAAACAATGCATAAGATAGTGTGGGACTTCTACTGTTGGTGCCATGGCAGTGATGATGGGCCACAGGGAGAGTTCTTCAGCAGAAGCTGGAGTGGTCAACCATGGCACATCTAGAGGTTTTAACCCAGATCCAGAGGTAGGCTGTGACTGTGTTTGGGCTCAGGCTGCTGGGAGTGTCAGGAGTCTCTCCTGGAGCCTGGGGGACAATAGTGGCTTCACCTGTGGGAGATTTGCTGTGCTCAGTGCTGAGCTGCCAGCTGAAAGAACTGCAGGACATAAGAAGGACTGTGTAGCATCGGGCAGGATAAACAGGAGCTTGAGAACATCTTTCAAGGGTCTTCCAAAGAGACATGGGTGCTTTTCTACTGCAGATGGAGGCACTGATCTGTTGACTGGACTTGCTTTCAAGTGGTGCCATGACAGGCTAAGACACAATCTGCACAAATAGCAATACAAAAATATATGTTTAAGAAAAGCCTTTTTTACTGTGAGGATTGTCAAATGCTGGAGCATGTTGTCCAGAGAGGTTGTGGAGTTAATTTACACATGTGAACTAAACAGCTAAGAATACATGCTAACTGCTTTTTCTAGTTATCAGTCATAGTCACATGCTCTTCATATAAAATGTTTCCTTCATTCAGTCTTTTGAAGGCTTTAATTACAGGGAAAATGTAATTTGATTGACTAGATTGACAGATTTTGTTTGTCAGGAAATGAAGAAGGATCCCAAAAGGCAGAGTTTGACTGACTGTGGTACATTATTTTTGAAGCTTCCTTTCTTACCACCTTTAGTCAGTTCAGTAATTGGTAACAACAAACCAGATCAGAGGACATTCTTGGTCCCTGAGGCCATGCAGTGCAGTATGACATACATGCGTACAGCTAAACTCTCTTGCACTGCACCTTCCTCTCCTAACCCCATCAAACCAAGCAAATAACCAGGATGGATTTACCTTTACTGGGAAGAGGCTCTGGCTCAAGCAGTCCTTGAAAGCCATGACCAGGGTTTGTCAGGAGAAGTGACAGTTGGCATAAGCCAAAACTGTATCAGCTGTGCATAAGCCAAAACTGTATCAGCTGTGCAGACAATGGCACCAAGAGCAAATCAGCCCAGACTTGCACCACCTCAGTGCTTGAGTCCATCTCCTGGTCCTGTTGAGTTTGTGCTTCAGAGTTGCTGTCTCTGATTCTGATTGATCTAAATGTGGAAAATAACTTTACTAGCACAATTCATTTAAGCTGGTATAAAACCAAGATAAGTGGCATCTGGGTCTAAGTAAGAGAGGGAAGAAAACCAAGTCATCTCACTTCAGGTGGTGTGAAGGGGTTTATCATACTGGCTTCTGCTGGTAAGGGAGCAAGAGCTTCTTTGCTGTCCTGATTCCCAGCAGTTAAATCCACACTTGGAAGCAAAGGTGATTGGGACAGTAATAATGGCTGTAACTATGGTGTGTTTATTCACTTGTCTAGTAAGGTATTTTGTGAAATCATACTTCATAAAAGTCCAATTGTTAGAAAGACTTTTGAAAGAAATGCAGTAATTGCACTTCGCAAAAAAGAAAATATTTATAGAGAAAATCTTGGCACATTAGTTTGGTTTGTATTGTGAATGTGTCTTTCAGAAAATGTGAATTGCCATGCTCGCTTTTAAGGAAGTTTAAATATTTTCTGTATCACAAAGGATGGTGATAGAAGTGTGCTCAAAAATGTTCCTTTCTTGAAGCATTTACATCCTTCACAGTTTAGAATGAAAAAAAAAAAAATAATCCATTGTGGGTATTAATCAGAGTATGTAAATAAAACTTATATAAGCAATCAAATAATGTAAACCTGCTTGTTCCAGTATGATATATAGTTAATAGGTTTCAAAATTAGAGGATATTTTTGTGTTTATTGTCAAAATTTTGATCATATTGCTGGCTAAACTGAAAATCAATTTTGATTTATTAAGCTACCTTTTTAGGATTCATATCAGTAATCCACAATGAAGTAGTTTGGGTTTTTTTATGTGATTAGTAAAGTTTTAGCAGATTTACACCAAACAAGACAAGTATGTCATTAGTTATTTGGTTTTATTAATAGACAATTATAATTCATATGTTGACATTTTGTTAGTCTGTTAATATTTCTCTTAACATTTGTATTTCATTCAAATTAACAAAGTAGTTTTATAGCCATGTGTAAATTTCTACTTCCCAAGGAGTCCAGTATTTTCTTACTCAGCCAAAGCACTGCAGACCTTTACAGTTACTTCTGTCCCAATATTGTGCAGGCATTGTATAATTTACATTTTCAAAATACCTTACAATCATTTTTAAACTTTAAATTATGCAAAATCTTTCCAAAGATGAGACCAGGTAAGTGTATTGTTTGCAATAAGGGATACAGATTTTTATTTTAACTTATGTAACATTACGCAGTTAGGAAGGGGGAAATTCTACCTTTGGATGCTCATGAGCAATTTATATTGCAGACAAGGTGTTATCATTGGCAGGGACAGGAAGGGAAACTGGGCTCTGATCATGGGAAGAGGAAAAAGCTAACACTGCATGTTAAGTGAAACTGTCTTTCTGATTGATCCTTACATTTCTGTAGCACAAACATTTTCATATTTCTACGCTTTGTCTGCATAATGGGAAGTAAAATTTTTAAAAACAGGGTGATTTCTTGTCTTTGTGTTCTTTTCAATAGGAACAGATGTCTCAGGTGTTGGATGCAATGTTTGAAAAGCTGGTTGAAGGAGGGGAACATGTCATTGACCAAGGGGATGATGGTGACAACTTCTATGTCATTGATAGGTGAATCGCTATGTCTTACTCTAGCACAAAGTACTATGAAAAGTCCATTGAGAAAAATATCTTTCTGTTTTTCCTTTGGCATCCTTCACTAGTCTGTTGGCTCAGTCTCCAGCCAGGCTGTCCCAAAACACCTTTTCTTATTTTTATTTTAGTTTTAGGATAACACAGTGATTTCTGAGGGTGTTTGAAAAGAATATTGTGCTAGAACTCTAAAAGAAATTAAAAGGTTTTGGTCAGTGTACCTGAAGGGGAGAAGTGGAGAGGGAGGTGCAGATCTCTTGTCCCTGGGATCCAGTGACAGGATGCGTGGGAATGGTTCAAAGCTGCAGCAGGGGTTGTTCAGACTGGAACATTAGGAAGCATTTCTTCACCAAGAGGGTGATCAAACACTGGAACAGGCTTCCTGGAGAGGTGGTCGATGCCCCAAGCCTGTCAGTGTTTAGGAGCCAATTGGACAATACCCTTAATAACACACTTTAAATTTTGGTCAGCTCTGAATTAGTCAGGCAGTTGGACCAGATGATCATTGTAGGTCCTTTCCAATTGAAATACTCAATCAGAAGTTGATCAAAGTATGTCAGGATTCTTTGCAGAAGAGTCAGTATTTTTCAGCTTTGTAAGGTTGCAGTTTGTCATCTCTCATCCAAAAAGCTGCAGAGACTTCACAGTATTCTGTCAGCCTTGCAGTTTTTAGGTGCAGTGAACCACCTTTAAGTCCCTTACCAATGAAATAATTGTACAGATTTTTGCATTAAATTCACATGGTTTATCAACACATACCATACAAATATTCAGCACTGAGCACAATGATGGTTCAGCATCAGTGGAAATGGCTGTGTCATGTTTTACAAGATACCAGATTTTACTTTGCTTCCCAAAGAAAAAAATGTTACTAATTTAATGATGGGAGAGGAAATCCAATGTGTATCTTTAGTTCATAATTTTATTATGATTTTCATGTACATTCCTTCAGTTTCCTGTATTACATCTGCTTATTACATTAGAAAGTACTATTTTGAAATATTTTAAATGTTGAATAACTTTTATTATTATTTCAGTGATCTTATAGTGATTTTTGCAAAGACTCATTATATTTTTATTTAGTGTGTTTAAAATGAAATTAAGAAGCAGATAATAATTAAGATCTTAATTTTTAATAAGTTCTGGTGATCAGTTCATCACTGTAAATCTAGTCTATCTTTAAACAGAGTTAATGTAAAAACTAATAATACTGCCCTTCTCTTTAAAAAGGAACTGCTTTTATTGTTTATGGAAGTGATTGAGATGTCTCTGCAAGGTGTTTAACACAATTTAAACAAGTAAATGTATTTTTCAAATGCTTTATCTTTGGAATTCATGGTATAAAAAATATAGTGAGAGGCTGCTTAGCAAAGACCAGGAGTGGATTCTACTCACTGTATTTATATATTTTATTAACAGAGGTACATATGATATTTATGTAAAATGTGATGGTGTTGGGAGATGTGTTGGAACCTATGATAACCGAGGAAGTTTTGGTGAGTTGGCCTTAATGTACAATACACCCAGAGCAGCTACAATTATAGCTACCTCTCCTGGTGCCATCTGGGGTTTGGTAAGTGAAATACTTGTTTTAAGATACTATTTGTTTTAATTATTTTATATAAATTGCACTGGTGTGCTATATCAGCTTTAGTAACTCCACCCTCTATATGTAAACTCTGTACATACTCTGCCAAAGAGCAGAGAACCTTTTCACAGTGTGAGTAGGTCAGGTGTTTAAGAGCTCTTGATTGACCTCTAGAGGAATCTTTCTCAACTAACTTATGGGGAGGCTAGTCAGCTAGTCTGAGAGTGACTGATATTGGGTAATTTTAACATATTCACCTATTTGTAAACTATTTTCAACCACATATGCATTTTCTGTTAATAAACCCTCTTCTTCTCTGTGTTTACAGGACAGGGTAACTTTCCGAAGAATCATTGTAAAAAATAATGCCAAAAAGAGAAGAATGTATGAAAATTTTATTGAGTCATTGCCATTCCTTAAATCTTTAGAAGTAAGATTTCTATTCTGTTACTTTAATAGTTGTATCAGAGGTACTGATATGATTCTGCTTTTGCAGAGCTTAAATTTGGAATAAAAATTTTCTCCACAGTAAAACATTGTATACTTTTGTTTTGGAGAAAGACCATATTTTTTATATTTCTAAATGTTTAAGATAAAGAACTATTGTTAATATTGGGTTTGTTGTTTTATTATTTTTTTAAACTACCTTTACATTCATTTTCTTAAGTTTAATTTTACTATATATTAGCCAATAAAATTAAACAATTAGGAAATTTCAAAATCCTTTCATTTAACAGCTATATTTTTACATATATGCCTTTCTAAAAGTAATTTTTGAAGACTTGGGATACTTAAAAAAAAAATGGAAGTTCTGTCAAAACATCTAGCTGATAAGACTATAATATGCCCTCTGCAACAATATTTAGCAGTTCTTCCTATTTTAATGACCATCAAAACAGGGAAATAAAGATACACTATTCTGTGCAAAGATTCATGAAGGAGCTTTCTAAATACAGTATTATAATGTTAACCAAGTATTTCTTACATTTTCTTTTTTTGACTGAAGGTATCTGAGCGTTTAAAAGTGGTTGATGTAATTGGCACCAAAGTGTACAAAGATGGGGAACAAATCATTGCTCAGGTACAGTTTATTTCTAGTTTTAGTTTCTCTTTCCCAGTAGGTAACAATTATCAAGTTATCTATAGACAATACATTATTTTAAACTATGTTTTTCTTTGACAAATGAAACAAAACCAATGAATCTTGCATCTAAGAGAGGTGATTATTTATTTCAGAAGCTAATTTTTCACTTACAGTACTTTGAAAAATGTCCCTCTTTGTTGGTATGAATAAAGGAGTCAACATCTTTAGTATACTTAGAAATTCAAACTATATGATTGCCTCCGATAAGGAGCACTGAAGAAGTACCTTGGAGGCTTTTTATGCTGTAAACTCTGTAAAGGAAGTAATTTAGAATACAAAGTAAAAACACGAGTTAGGATCACAAAATATAACATTGTTTTTCTCTGCTCTTTGTAGAAGGCACAATCAGTTGCATCTTTTAATGAAAAGGCTTTGCTGTCAGTTCTGTGTAGATGCTTTGATAATTTTGTGCCTTGAGTATGGTTTTCACATTAAAAGTTATTTATTTTGCAACAGGTATCAAAAAGACGAGCTTCAGTGCACTTGCTGCAAGTGTTTTAATGTTACCATGGAACTAAAAAGGAAATTTCACATTTCCTTTACTTGCTTTATTTTTTCTCTTCTACAGGGTGACTTGGCTGATTCTTTCTTCATTGTGGAGTCTGGAGAAGTAAGGATTATAATGACAAGAAAGGTAAACATCCCAAAACACAGAATTAATGCTTTTCTTTTAATCTTTATGTATTCTAAGTATTAACCAGTAATTGTTGTAATTTTGCTTATACAATCCTGAGTTCAGCAAATCTCTCTCTTGTTCTCTCTCTTACTTTCTTTTTTCACCTGGTATTTCAGGGTAAGCAAGATGTAGAAGAGAATGGAGCAGTTGAAATTGCTCGATGCTCAAGAGGACAGTATTTTGGAGAACTTGCTCTTGTAACTAACAAACCACGAGCTGCTTCTGCTTTTGCCCTTGGCACTGTCAAATGTTTAGGTATTGTTCAATAATATTTTCTATCTAATACGAAATGACACATAATCTATCTGGTTGTTTTTATTGTGAACTCTGTCTCCGGAATATGTTATTCGTTTCCATTTTTCCAAATACAAATGTTTATGTGTATAATCTCTTACTGTGCATTCGTATTTATGTTATTTGTCTGTAGAATTTTGCAATTGATAACTAAACACAAATTCCCCAAAGTTTCTCTGATTACATGGAACTAAAAATTGTTTCAGGACACTACAAAGAATATTGCTGCAAACTGTTTATAGCTGTCTAAGCCTTTCAGAAAGGTGAAGTATTTCTTTTTTCAGTAGTCTGATTCTCATTAAAAAAAAAAAAAAAAAGTAGTAAAAATCCTGTCCCATTTTGTCACTTTGACTTTAACTTTAACTAATTCTTTGTCTTCACCAGCTGTTAATTTAATCATTGCATCACACTGTAGCCTCAGGAGAAGCAAAGATGATAGGAGTTGTGCTCACATACAAGCCTTTGCATCCATTGCTTTTCATGGCCCAATGTTATAATCAGGGGGATTCTGTAAACTGCAAAGATAGATTTGGCATTCTTGAATGACAGTTTGAGTACCAAGACACTAACCAAAAAGTTTCTCACTTACCTGTAATGGTACCGTGTTTAAAAATCCTTATCTCTGAACACACAGAGATGATTGGGCAATAACGATTAAAGATGACAGAGAGGAAAGAACAAGAGGCAGTGGGTGAAGAAAGTCTTTACCTGGTATGGGTGAGGCACGAAAAATCTGGCACTTCCCAAATAGTAGAGAGCTTGAACTTTTCTGAGGAGTCAAGAGAAGACCAGGCCACCAGGTTGGAAGCTGGTTGAAGTAGGAAGTTTTTTACCTGGCCTATTGGCTAGAACTATAGAGGATAACATAAGAGTTATGTAATCAGGTAAAGAAAATATTCTGGTCAGCTATGCATTGACATGGCATGTGAATTACTATCTCCAACCTTTTGTATGTTTGCTGGGGAATAAATATCTATTTAAATTTCCAATGTGAGTGGAAACGAGTAAAAATAGCAAGGAAGTATGTTAAATCAGATCCCAACTAAAGCCAAAAACATCAGCAAAAAATGTGTTTTTTTTAAATCTCAAGGGTCTTAACACTGTATTCTGTGGAGGAATCCAGGCCCCTCCAGATTCCTTCAGCAGCTCTTGGGTCACACAATTCTTGACATGAAAGTATTTTCAAAATAAGAAACCCAGCAAATTCTAAGTTTATTTATGAATTTTCAAGACAGCAGTGTGTTGGTTGATGTTGGTTTTGCTATGGTAAGTGGTTTTCTTCTGTGCAAAACAAAGTACACGCCTCAGTAATATCTGTTCTGTAACCATTTACAGTTTTACATTGAAATGTCATAAACACCAAGATTAGTGCCTGCAGCTGATAAGTGTTTTGTTCTTTCTCTCCTTTTTTTATCTTAGTTATGGATGTGCAGGCATTTGAAAGGCTTTTGGGACCTTGTATGGAAATTCTGAAAAGAAACATTGCAAACTATGAAGAACAGCTAGTTGCTCTGTTTGGAACAAACATGGACATTGCTGATACCAGTGCATGAACTAAACATTGGAGCAACAAGATCTGTTACGAGAATATAGCACAGTAGTGGTTAGTCCACTGAGAAATTGTCTCTCTTCCTATAGATGCCAAGCATTTTCTGTAATTTTTAGAGTGGGTTTGGGGTCTTTTTTGGACTTAATACAGTGGAAATACTAGCAAACAAAATAGGAGTTTAATTAATTGTGGACCTGATTTTTGAAAGTGCTTGGCATTGATGGTTCCATCTAGCATTAAGATGACCCATAGAAGCCCAGCACCTTGGAAAATCAATCCTTTAACACAGCATTTCCTTAAAGAGTAGATTTAAAAAAAAAACAACCCACATGCTGAACTTGTTAAACCAGCTTCTGTTCTTCAAAAAGGTTACAACTTTTCTGGAAAGACTGTTAGTTTGAATGTGATATGTTGAAAGTATTAGTGCACACAAAGTGTTTATATGTATTAATACAGAAGATATACAGTAGATATTACTTTCTGACAATGACAGTTGTCATGATTTTACATTGCATTTATCACAGATGTAGTGAATCACAAAACTAATCGTAAGATAAAGCATGACAATGCATTTTGTGTAACGCTCATGACCCAAATCTGATTTTTAACATTTTGTAATTTGTTTTAAAGTCCTCTTTGTTTAATATGTCATGTTTCAGCACGACATTGTAATATCTTATGCAATTTAGAGGACTTGTATATTTTTGCAATAAACTGCCTTTTTTATTAGTTACATGTATTCTGTACAGTCTAGAGTGAGGACAGCTGACAAATTAACCTTGATGCTTGAAAAGCAAAGGCATAGGTCATTGTCCTGTTCTTCCTAAACATACATAACCTATATTGTTTCCCTTCTCCCTTGTTTTATATTTATGCATTTTGTCTTCACTATCTATGCTTGTTCTCTAGTTGAATTTTTTGTAGATCTTGCCTTTTTTATCTGTTAAATCTTTTACCTAATTCAAATGAAACTATCTCTGTATATCTCTCTTCTTGCAGTCTAATCTCAGCTATCAAAGACCTGATTCAGTTACTGAAATGATTGATATTGAAAGCCATGCTAAACTAATCTTGTACTTGAAAATTCCTTATCAAAAAGTACAAAAATGTTTTTTTAATTTAAAAGATCAATACTTCAGAAGCTTTGCACAAGTCTGGAAAGTATGTCAATGTTAAAGCTAACATGTCCTGTTTTCAAAAACCTGTAGGTCATAATAATATTTTTTTTAGCCATAAGAGCATGGGCTATCTTCTGAGACTGAGGAGAGAGAATATAATCTTAATTAGGGGCACAGGGCTCATTGCTTACAAGGGTCTGTGACTGGAAATTTCAGGCACAGTCCAATTTTAATACTGCTCACTGACCTGCCTGTTGATGTACATGGGAAGCTAGTGCAGATAATGGCAATTGGCATTAGTTCTGCCAAAATGACCCTACAAAACTTGTAGGGAGGCTGCGTGTGCCCTTTTCCAAACACCTGAGTTATCTTTCCTTCTTAGATAATGACTTTTCTAATGCCATATATTTGTGTACGTTGATGTAATTATTACCTATAGTTATTGATATGTTCTGACAATTTATATAATCATACCTGTATATGAAATTATGATTATATAAAATTATAACAATATATAATTTATATCATAAAGTGTGGTATAAATTATAAGACAGATTCATAACAAAGTACGATATGAGCAAAATTTACATATGTCTTTTTTTAACCTAGAAACCTGGTATGAATAATTGCACATATGATAACTTGCCTTTGTAATACTGATTTATGGACAAAAGAGAAGCCTGTTATACTAGAAGGAAATATCAGGTAACCAAAATTTACACTCTTGTCATTCTGTATGCTTAATCTCTAAAAGCTACCTATATTTTGCACTAGCTTGATGTGATTAAGAGAAACGCTAGAAATTACATGTATGGCAGTAAACTACAATCAAGGCCATAAATGCCAGTCATGATATTTTCAATATTGTTGGTTATATTTAAAGTTTCCTTACAATAAATGACACTTTTATATATAAAAAAATCTATGTTTATTGATATTGTTGTGTTTTAAATCCATTATCATGATATTAAAAGCAATCTACTTACACTCATTTATTAAAATAGTAATAATTCTTAACAATTCCATGTTGATCTTCATAAATGATATTACGCAGATGCTCTGTCAGTTCAGAATAGATTACATGTTGGTGTGGTAATTCTCACAGCTACTTTGTGTTTGATATCTCCTTGTAATTTTTAGCTGGGAAAAATATGTGGAGGGACAAATTTAAGATAATCAGAGACTTTCAGATTTTCAGGGTCCCAAAGCACAGCTTCATGTTGCAGCACTTTTATGGTGTTGCTTTTGGGACCCGAATGATTTCTGGAATTTTCTGTGTTGGTGAATTCAGGAGGGTTTAGCCAACAGTAATAAATTGTTGTTTTCTATGTTTCTTCCAAATCATTATATCCTTCATCAGTCAGCACTTGGGATTTCTCCTGAACCTATTTCTGTGTACACTTCAAACATGCCAGTCTTCGTGTCATAAATGTGGCAAGTGTTCATCCTAAAAGGAAATACTACCAAGTCACTGGTTTTTAATGACCTTTCCAATAAAGGCAGATAGTTCTAATACCTTCAAACACTACTATGTTGTGTTTACCTAGAGACTGTGTCCATACTAGATTACCTGATGGTTCTGTTATTGAAGATTTTTATCATCCTTGTTTGTAGTCAGGTCACTAAAGCAACAGGACTTTGTCTATTACTCGGCACATATGTTTTAGTCTGTTTCTTGCCTCTCCCCAGCCTCACCAGTGATTTATAATTCTGCAGATGATTTAAATGAATTTGACAGATGGCTAGGTTCTAAAGAGGAAAAAAAGATAAATAAATGCTCCAATGAGTTTGTTGAAAATGTGCCTGATGGGTGAGGTGAGAAAAGCCTGAGAGAAATCCTGTATGAGAAAGACATTCATGGGCTCACATGTTATTATGCAAAAGAGAATCCCTGTGGCAGCAAATGTTTACAAATGCCTTAACCATGGGAAAAAAATTTGCAGCCCTCAGTCTATCACAAGACACAAAGCCTGAGGAAAGAAAGCTTGCTTGGTGCTAGTGCTGATGCCATTGCTTTTTAAATGTCACTTGTTTGTGCTTCATGAGATTTCATTCAAGTTCATTTGGAATAAACACTTTTGAAATCATTCCCTTCTGGATCTCCTAGAGGTCCAGAAGTGATTGATTGTGGAAGTCTTGGGGCAAAGCTGTGAAGAGCACTGTGAAACCACCTACAACCTAAGCCACTCTCACTCCATCTTCTTTCCTCATGTTGTCTTTTGTATTCAGTAAAGACTGTTCTGGTCCTTGCTGAAATGATAGGTTTGTTTTTGGTGGTTTTGTTTTGTTTGAAATGTTTCATACTTTAGGCTTTCTATAAGGTGACTGGGATCAGTTACCTCACAATTTGTGACATTTTTGTAGTTTCTGACACACTTTCCATGGCAAGCTTTATTGGTTTTCAATATCAAGAGTTGCCAGATGTGCAAAGTCTGTATCTGCCAGTCATCCTTCACAGGCCTGGCCCATCAAATTCCTAGTCCTCTTTTTTCTGATGCTTGCTGCATTTTATATCTTCTACTGAACTAAGTGCTTTGCTCAAGATCAGTTTGCTGAAGTATGGACATTCTTACATGCTCTTACTGAAAGTTTTATGTTATCTCAAAGCTCTTTTTATCCATTCATCCATGTGATGGTTATAGGTGTGGTTGGGGTTTTTTTTGAGATTCTAAGGCACTTTCCTGTGTCTGTAGTCCTCAAATAAGTCTTACTGCAGTTTTCTCTGGGAGGAATTGCCTGTTTGTATGCTAAGTATGTACAGATCTGTTCCACTGGCAGTCTTAAAAAAATTAGGATAAGTTAGAAATTATCCTGAGAGTTGAATTTCCTTCAGATATAGACCAAGGCTGTTTCCAAGTTCTTAATCTCCTTTTTTGTCTCAGAAAGATGCTTAACAGGCTGGAAACTTTCACTTCATGGACCAAAGAGAAGCTGAATAATCTTGCTAGGAGATGAAAAGCCTGAAGAAAAATACATTTTTAACAGTCTCTTCCTTCACCCCATTTCTCTCTTTCCCTATAGACCAAGGCTGTTTCCAAGTTCTTAATCTCCTTTTTTGTCTCAGAAAGATGCTTAACAGGCTGGAAACTTTCACTTCATGGACCAAAGAGAAGCTGAATAATCTTGCTAGGAGATGAAAAGCCTGAAGAAAAATACATTTTTAACAGTCTCTTCCTTCACCCCATTTCTATCTTTCCCTCCAATTTATCATTATTCTGACAGCCAGGTCAGAATAATGAAGAGCCAGTGGCAGTAGGGGGATATAAGGCAAGTGGAGTGATTGGCTGGGTCCATGCTGGGACACAGGGATTTGGCTGACTGGGCAGTGACTTCCTCATTGCCTTTGTCCTGTCCTTGTCCCTTCTGTGATGGCAAATCGAGCTGAGCTGGAGTGCAGTAATGGTGTCACCACGGCTGTGTGAGTACCATGGGTAGAGTTGCGTTTCTTCCTTAGAACTGGCAGAAGTATATGCATGTGTAGGGGGATGGGGAAGAGAGAAAGACCAAACTATTTCATCAAAGAAATTGTGCCCAGTCAAAACCACGTGAAAAACTCTTGACACTAGGTTATACCAGGCCATGGTGAGAGTATCTGCTGCCTCAGCCTTTTTATTGAGGTAAAAGAAATTAGAACAGCCTAAAAATAGCATCAGGGCGTGGTACGAATACTTTGTCCTTTCTCCTTTGTTGAAATGAATTTTTTCAGCTGAGCAGCTGCAAAGTTTTAGGAAAGGACAATGCTCTGTGCAGGTGAATTCCCTGCCAGCCGAGCAAGCCTCTGGGACCTGCAACCTCCTCATCTCTAAAGATGCTGGAAACTCAGTTCTGATAAATGCCTTCTTTGGAAAAAGGTATCAAATTTACTACCAAGCTGTATCTTTTTCTCTGTGTTGCTTTGTCCTTCTGGACTCAGGTGGTGTGTCTATCTTAAGCAACCTTAGCTTCACTGCATCTTTAGTTTTTGGCTGGATCTGTATGGTTTACATCCACAGTGGGAAACTGTACGTGCCTGGGACTATTT